TCTCTTTTTTATGTTTCTTGTCCAATTCACTCATCGTGTCTGCCCATTTTATCTTGTCTTGAATTGAAATCAGCAAATTATCTGATGTACCCAGCCTGCGAAATACCATAAATGCCCCCAGACACGATTAGAAATATTGGCAAAAAAAATGTAGGCATAAAGGATATTACGGAAGAAATGTCCAAAAAATAAAAATAAAAAATCAATATGGTGAATTCAATACCAAATGCAAGAAATAGATGTTAATAATTTGAGATTACCAATCTGATAACGTGTGAATCATATTCCCCAATTGTCCAGGCCTCAGATCCCTTCCTGCTGCAAATTGCACCTAACGAATCCCAAATTATTCACACAAGATTAAACTTTATGAAAAAAGAAACTAGTATAATTAATAATTCTAAGGTAAATTACAAAACAAAACAAAACAAAACAAAAAAAAAAAAAAAAAAAAAAAAAAAAAAAAAACATTATATTGTTGCAATTTTGCGGTTTTACCACTTAAAATCAAACCATAAAAGTTTCCGGCATTTTTCCAAATTAACCATTTTGACCTGTTATATCAGATCATAATGGTTAATTCTGAAAAATGTCTGAAACTATTATGGTTTAGTTGGAAAATATAAAGTATAAGTGGTTAAACCGCAAAATTGCCAAAAATATGCTGGTTTTTTTGTAATTTACCCTAAATTCCAAGAGTGAAAAAATATAGACAAGAGGTCACACCTCAAAACATCTTCGAAGCTGATCTAGCTTGCCCCTTACTATACCCTATACAAGTGGAAGAAATAAAACACAAAACTAGCTAAAGATAACAAAAATTAGCAAAAAGAAATGTTTTGAAATATAACTTTTTGAGGTTAGAGGTAAAAGTATAAAGAGAAATGAATCCAAAAAATAAGAAATAAGTTTTGATTTGACTATTTGCAAGTGATTCAAAATAAGTCTGCAAAAGTATATAACTCAATAAATGTGGGAAACACATACCACATACATGCACTCATTGATGAGAAAATCTTCAAGCTCACGAACATTTACAACATCCAATTCATGCATCAACACATCATATGAGAGTACCTACATTACATAATAAAAATGATTAGATTCTTATTTATTTAGCTTCTGAAGGTTGATTGAGTAAAAAAGAATAGAATTTATGAGTTTCTCCATCCACATTTAGTGCCTTTTTCTCTATCATCTTCCAAAATTAAGTGGAAACAAGACTCCTTCCTAAGTTTCCAAGATTGCCCTTAGTAATAGGTAAAAAAAGTAGCAAGAATTCTAAATTAATGTAAATATACAAATACCTAGATACATGAACATAAAACTAAGTCTCCTTTCCCCAAGTAAACACAAAATAAATAAAATTGATCAAACATAGTGTTAGAGAAAAGCTAATGGACAAAGAAGTGCATTAAATACATGTTTGATTAATAGAACAAATCAAATATATAAATGATAATACAGCTTTACAAACTCAACAATTACCAATGTTTCCAATAGAATTAATAATAACAATTTCACGAGAGAGTTGTGAAATCAATGTAAATATACAAATACCAATAAAGTTAATAGAAATAACAAAGCATCTGCTAAAAATAAAACAGAAGCTGCAGTTTTTTGGTTATATTTCATGCTTTAGATTTGTACCAACTACCAAGCACTTCTTTAGTTGTACATACTTTATTAAATTTTTTGGTTATTGTATCTTTACAAGTTTACATAAACATTATGGTTTTGGTCAATTAATAATAATTGTATTAAATACATTAATGCACATACATTAAAGATGGGTTTATAGAAGTTGCATTAATATTTATACATTTACATCTACCACACTTATTTGTACATAAAATTTTCAGCAAAATAGTTTAACATTTTTTTGTTTTGAGTACTCTTTAATTAATGAACCCATTTTATTAATTGATTTTTTATTAAAATGATCATGTCAGCAACTTATGAAAAGAATTGTTGCTTGGATGCCATGTCAGCTGTTAGGTCACTTTTCCATCCAAATCGCTTTACTTTTAACATATTCTATCAGTAATCACTTGACTTAAAAGTGATTAAACATGCAACATTTAGTGATTCAAACACTTGACAATTAGAACCTGTAAAATTCAGTAAACTGTATTTAAGAGCAAATGGAGAATATAGAATGAAGAACATCGGATAAACACACATGCAGACCCAGGTCTTACTGATGAAAATATCTAAATCTAATAATCTATATTTATTTCGACTACTTCCTCGTATTTTGTCAAATTCTGATTTTTACTCAATCCCATAACCACTTCCTTTTGTGTATATCATGAATTGATGATTATCAGATAGATCTACACATCAACTCCAGCAGTGTTTATAATATACTAAATTGATAAAACCAATTCAAAAAAGCAACCACACTGCTACCAAATACATACAGGGTAAAACAGTAAAATAGTAAAATACCTTGTTGGCTTCAGCAAGTGTGAGCATAGTGAGTTGCTTTAACTTGAGGATCTGATCTGGTGTCAACTGTGGAAGATTACTAGCACTACCTAAAGATCATAAACAAAAAATTTAAAAGAGAAAAACTTGACTCCCCCATATAGCCTTCTTTGTTATATTGATTAACTATCGGTGCTTACAAAGTTACATTAACTTTGGAGTCAATATGCATAAATCAAATCATATTTATATACATGTTAACTAAAAATAATCAAAAGAAATTATTTTGAATAATATTGGAAATATGGTGTGTGATAGTGTAAACACATGCAGAACCTATGTCGATTAGCTATATATAAATAACCATGTGCAGTGTTGTAAAGTATTGTAACAGAAAGAGGTTGGAAACCTACTCTTGTATTCACTCCATGTTCCATGAGCAAACATCTGAAGCAAATCCAAGTATATAGAATGCTCTGTTCCTTGAAGCTGCATAAAAATTGATTTGATCAGGACATGAAAAAAAGGAAGAAACATCAAATAGCTTGCAACAGTACTCCAGAATTAAATTGATTGGAGGATTGGAAAGAGACCATGTAATTTACTGGACAACAAAACTACCCCCAAAGTGTGACAGAACAAACTTTAACAACGCAAATGTGAGAAATATTATGGGTAACCTAGGCCTTAGAAGATAAACACTCCAATGCAACTTTTATATATCAATAGAAACATAAACAGCATCCAAAACATAGTTTGTCGAAGTACACAAAAACAAATTTAATAGAAAATAAAGCATTATGGATTATGGAGTATGGTGGGAATCAGACATCAAGTAACTTAGAAGACTGAATATCGATAACAATGGTGGACTGTATGTCTGTGTCTAATTCCAAACCCTTCGAAGAAAGGCATTCCATACACGTAGTAACAATAAAATACCTGAAGTATATCTAACCAAATAGAAACCGATATCTAAGCATCAATAAAGTACACAAACGCAAAATTGGTAGCAAAAAGCTAAGCATATTGATAATGTCAAATATATAGCACAAAGACCAAAATTCAGACCTCGAGAACATTAGGGAGAGAAAGAATCTCGGAGAACGCAAAGAGAGAAGGGTGTGAGGTGGCTTCCACGATGACATTTGCGAGATATGATGATGAACCCTTAATGGTGGACGCTTGTTTGACGAAGTGGTCGATGTGCTCCGCTTGCTTTTGTTCGATATCCATGACGACGAAGACGAACTCTACAGTGCGAGATCACACCTTAGTAGAACTAATTATCGGAATCAATAGTAGGTCTAGAAAATTCAAAGAGTTTTACCAAATTAGGGTTCGAAATCAGAAGTGGTTTTAGGGGTTTTTGGGTGCTCTTTTTGGTGCCCCCCTTTCACTCTCCTCTCTTTACGGTATCTAACTATCTATTGGGTTTTTGGGTTTCCTCGGTTGTATGTCGACGTTTGCAACCGCAGCCCGGAGTTACTTACAATAATCACCCTATACTTTAGCAAAATGTTACGACTTACCCCAAGGTTTAAGTAGTTAAGTACTTAAGGGAACCTTTGTTCTATAGGCAAAAAATAATAATAATAATAATATTATGAAGACATCTTAATACTTTTATTTTGTTTTTTTTGCTTTATGGGAATTTTTCAATTAAGAAGCAAGATTTTAATTTTTTTTTAGATTTAAAAACCATTGACAATCTTTTAAGTTTTGTTTTTTAATTATTCGGTCGCTTACTTTTTAAGATAAAAAGTTGTATCTGAATAAAAAAACGATTAGTGTGTTCCGAAAATACCATAATTTTTCAACAAGTCTTTTTCCCTCTTCTCTCTATATTTTACATGAGCTATTTCACACGAGCGCCTCCTTTTTTCCTCATACTGCCGTCTTCGGCCTCTTAAAAAATCCAAAGTTTCTTAAAATTCCAGAGCTTAAAAGTTCAGATTTTGTCAAATAGTCTCTTATAAATAAGAATTTAGATCTTAAAAGTTCAGATTCTGCCAAACAGCCTTATGTATATTATAAGTAAATTAAGATTAGACAAAATTGCAAAAATGGTCCCTGTGGTATGCATTTTTTTGGGGTTTTAGTCCAAACCCCAACTTTTTTGGATTAGTGGTCCTTTTGGACTAGTTTGTATGTGAAAATGGTCCCTCCGAAAATTGAAATGACTAAATTACCCTCTTCATATATTTTTTATATTTTTTCTATTTAATTTAATGTTTTATTGATAATAAAATGGGACCCACACCCCATTCTCTCTCTCTCTCTCTCTTCACACACAAACACACAGATCCATTAGGATCATTTGGAGGCTTCAGATGAACCCATTCATCCCCAATCTTAACTCTTTCAAACTTCCCCACTCTCCAAATTCATGTCTGATAAGCTCTCCAAAACAAACCTTAATCTGCAAACTTCACTTATGGATCGTCGTCGTCCACCATAGTCAGACACCCACCAAAGCTGGATTGTCGCCATTCATCAAAGCTATGATCTTCTCGATTTTGCCAATATCATTTCAACCTCCATCACAGCTTAACTATCGTCACCCAAAGACACGTCCTTGCTAACAACAGTCTCACTAGAACGATTCCCGAAGAGCTCACCGCTCTTCTTGGTCTTAAAAAATTAGACCTCGCCAACAACAATCTCTCTAGCAAAATCCCAGTTTTAAAGAGAAATTTGGATCTACACACAGCTAGGAATGCTATATCGGAAAGGTATTCAGCAATTTCATCCTTCTCTTCACCTTCAACAAAATCATTCCATGCCAGGAATACCAAATTCATAAATTCCCAAACCCCCAAATCAATTATAAGAAGAGAAAATCCTGGAGACTTGCAGCTGTTCTAATTCTGAAAATGGAATCCTGGGGACTTGCTTCCTGTAAACGAAAGGATAACGAAAGCTTATCATTCTACAAATAATTTCTGAAGGAAAGTTGCACTTCTAGGAGGTTACTGGAGGGTAACTCCAAAAACACAGGACCATGTTTAATTTGTAAGAATGTCAGAAATGGACCTTATTGACCTTCAAGAACAGATGAAGCATTTACAACCAAATTGATACAAAAGAACGAACAACCTGAAGAATTGAAACACCGGGAAAAATCTTTGTGTTCAGCTATAGAGACAACAAATGAGGAATTGCAAGAAGCTCTTTGGGAACTCTTTTTGTGTTGTTGTAAACGGATGATTTAATTGAAGAAATGAAGATCCAATTTCTTAGATGGGTTTTTTAGGTGTAGGTGCAGACATAACGAGAGAGAGAGAGAGAGAGAGAGAGAGAGAGAGAAAAGAAAGAAAGAAAGAAAGAAAGAAAGAAAGAGAGAGAGAGAGAGAGAGAGAGAGCGGGGGAGGGAGAGAGGGAGGGAGAGAGGGAGAGAGCGAGAGAGGGAGAGAGAGACCCTTCTTATTTTTTTAATTATTAAAATAAATAAATTAGTATTTGATTTAAGAAGAAATGAAAGAAAAACGAAAAATAAATACTCTAAGGGTATTACAGTCATTTCACTATTCAGAGGGACTAAAAACACAATAAAACTAGCTCAAAAGGACCACGAAGCCAAAAAAGTTTGGGTTTGAACTAAAACCTCAAAAAAAATGCATACCACAAGGACCATTTTTGCAATTTTGTCTTAAGATTAAACTCGTGTGATTAGCGATACTCCTTAATGTGGGTATAGAATTGACTTTTTTCATTAGTATCCTTATTTTTAATAAAATCTTATTTTGGTTATGATACACACTATTAAATTTATATTAATAAGCTCAAGAAATAAAAATTCATTTACTTTTTGTGGTATCACTTTCACTACTAATTTATTGAAGAGAAATTTCGAGAAATAACCAAAAAGGAAGGGATTTTGAAGAAAATGACCATGTAAATGAGGATTTTGAAAAATGATCACAGGTTCCGCAGAGGGGGTTCTGCAGAACCATAAACACCTCTGCGGAACCATGAACACCTCTGTGGATTTTGGTTTTTTTAATTTTTTTTTCGTTTTTTTATTTTTGTTTTCGTTTATTAATATTATTTTTTTTAATCACATAAGGTATTATGTGATTATTATGTAAAAAAAATTGTTTTCGTTTTTCCTTTTTCTTATTTAATTACCCGTTTAAAAAAGCTGTGTATTTAATAAAAATTATATAAATATTCAATGTTTTATATAAAATTACACACACCGGTATTCTGAATAATAAACATACTTTAAGTAAGTTACAAAACATACTTTAGAAAACAAAAGCATATAACCTTCATAATAAACATACTTTGAAATAAACTTCACTCATAATAAACACCGGATACCGATCAAAGTTTCTGTGGTTCGATTTAAATGAATGAAGTTTATTTCAAAGTATGTTTATTATGAAGGTTGTAACAGATCAAAGTTTCCGTGGTTCGATTTAAATGAATGAAGTTTATTTCAAAGTATGTTTATTATGAAGGTTGTATGTTTATGTTTTCTAAAGTATGTTTTGTAACCTACTTAAAGTATGTTTATTATTCAGAATACCGGTGTGTGTAATTTTATATAAAACATGGAATATTTGTATAATTTTTATTAAACACGCAGTTTTTTTAAATGGGTAATTAAATAAGAAAAACGAAAAACGAAAACAAATTTTTTTACATTATAATCACATAATACCTTATGTGATTAAAAAAATAATAATATTAATAAACGAAAACAAAAATAAAAAAAAACGAAAAAACGAAAAAAAATTAAAAAAACCAAGATCCGTAGAGGTGTTCATGGTTTCGCAGAGGTGTTTATGGTTCCGCAGAACCCCCTCTGCGGAACCTGTGGTCATTTTCCAAAATCCTCATTTACATGGTCATTTTCTTCAAAACACCCCTCCTTTTTTGTTATTTCTCGAAATTTCTCTTTATTGAATGAGTTTTGACTGGGTAGTAATGATTTTGACCGAGTCCAATTTGTTTTGCCAGTTTTCTTTAGTCTTGATGCAATAATGTGATTAGGTGTCGACTAGTTGGCAAACTTGTACAACATTGGCTATAAGGCACTGCAAAATCCTATTAACGCGGTTGTTTGCTATCATTTTGTATGATAGAGGAAGAATTTCGTAGATACTAAGAAATAGGTGAGGATTTTGTAGGCAATGCAAAATGGGGGATGTTAAATGGTTAAAACATCATTGTTTTTTTCATTTTGTAGGGAGCACTTAGAAACGAGGAAAGACCCTGCAAACGAGTATTTCACAGGGCACTGCAAAATCCTTCCAACACTGCAAAATAGGGGAGGATCATGTATTCTTGGCCACTTTTAGTTTTTTTGCTTGAAAACTCGTGTACATGTAAAATATGAAATATCATAGAATATATTATTTTGCCTCAACGAAAATATTATAGCTTTTCTATAAATGGTAAGTATTAGGGGCACTGCAAAAAAGAATGATCATGTTTTATTGGTTGTTGTAGTTTTTTCCTTTTATTGCTTGAAAACTCTTGTACATGTAAAAACCCTTGCTAGTTACTTGTAACGAATTTTCAAGTAAAAAGTAAAAAATAAAAAATGGCCAAGTATATATGGTCCTTCCCGTTTTGCAGTGTTTTTGAGGATTTTCTAGTATCATTCAAATGTTCATTGAAGTGTTCTCTCTTATTTCTCAATGTCACATACAAAATGAAAAAACCACTCTTTTTTACTATTTTGCACGGTTCTATAGCATTTTGCAATTGATCCTGTGAAATCCATCCCTATTGATTTGGATGTTTGATGTTTAGTTGGAATGGGAATAAATATGATTACTTGAAAATTGTTGTTTGATCTATGTATCGAGTTTGATGTTTAGCCATTTAGGTTGTTAGCTTTGGATATGAAAATGCATTGAAGTTTGTATGTAAGAAACATTATTCGTCCTTTGCACAAATTATCAGGTAAATTCTATTTTTGCATTTCCAAAAAAAAAATCTATGTAACTGAGTTTTGTATATTTTTATTTATTATAAAGTTTATTTAATGCGCTATTTACTTTTTTTGTGATATAGTTAATTATGAAATTTATATAGGTGTTATCTTTAAAGTTTGAAATTTGCTGTAGCTAAAATTTAAAAACATAACTTCTAATCTAATAATATTGAACTAAATAAATATACAATAAAAAATAGAAAAACCTGGATTGAGCCTGGTCGTAAGTCGTAACCAATCAGAAGTTTAGACCGCCGGGCCCAAATAAAGCCCATCTTCTGAAACCACAAAACATCTTATTAACTATAGCACACATGTCAAGAAGATAAAAAAAATTATACGATTTCTTACAATTAATAATATCCTCTCGAGGTGTTGCTTGCATTCCAAATTGAATTATTGAATAGTTTGATGTTTTGCTTTTAATCAAACCTGAATTATTACAAAGGTTAATTGACAAATGCTAATGTCAACGTGGGGTGTGAACCTCATGTTGTATTATTATGTGT